CCGGGAGTTTACTCTGTGTTTCACTCCATATCCAATTTAACAGCACCATCTATCAGCTTTCTTTTTCATTTCAGAATGAAATGGCTGTATACGAATTCATCCATAATTTTGTGGAAGTTTTGGACATGTATTTCAGCCGAGTGGTAAGTCTCATAGCAAAAGAAGTAGTTTCCTTCATCTGCCCAATTGTCCAGAAAAGGCCTTGGTCCTTTTGAGTTTTGAATTACTTGTAAATATAGCAGTTCAGCAGTTTAAGAATGAAAAGGTGCCCAGTTTCCTTTTCTTTACTATAGCTCACCCAAGGAAATTTATGTTTGGCTGAGGTCTTTCTAACAGAATTATATCTAAGAAACTGATATCCTCTTCTATTTGGAGCACTTTAAAAACAGGGCCACTTTTCTCAATGGAGTCCTGTGACCATCAGAGTTATAAGTAAACATGACAAGGAACATTTGGAGATATGATCAAGGGAGAGTCTTCATTAATTTAATAATATCCTGGGTAAGAACAAATCCTATATTCTCTCCACAGACTATCCACCCCATATAGTGTATCACAGAATGAAAAGGCTTGAAACTTATCATACTTTAATTTAAAATGACTCTTCTGCATGATAGGAGTAATATATCATTCACCTTTGCCACATTACCTTTATGATTTAAAAGCTGCATTACTCTTACGGTATTAAAGCCTTTTACCTTTAAGGACTTTCTCTATCCAAAGCCATGGTTTGAGAGCCAAAATAAATTCCCTCTAGGAGACAGCTGAGTTCTTAAGAATAAAAGTAAGATGCCTGATTCTGGAAGGATATCATTTATTCAGAGTAAAACAAATAGATAAAAGGTATTGAAGCTGAGCAACACCATAGGAAAATACTTAGGTGAGAAAATTTAGGAAGCAGAGGTGGAGGCGTGGTTGGGAGCATTTGGGTAAAGATCAACAGAGACAGGAACAGTAGGGACGCTGTCCTTGGACTGCACTGCAGACTGTACAGAGCATCTAAATGTAAGGAGGAAGTAAAGGAGGACTTTGGAACACATTGTGAGCCCAGGGACCTCCATTGCCCAGGCTTTTGCTAGAGCCTTTGCCAGAAGCAGAGAAGATCATCTTGATTTGCCTCAACCATTTTCATTCTTCAACTAATAAAGGAATAAAAAAGGGGAAATTCTATTCTGGACCTAATTCTCAGCAGGGAAAAACTGATTGTTAGAAAAAAAGTGATGGAAACCTTGGAAAGTAAAAACTCCATTGTGAAGAAAAAAGCTAGATTTTTGGAGTGCACATTTCAGAAGGTTCAGAGGAAGAACAGATTGGATCCAATGGATAAAAATCCTAGAGCAGTAGTCAGTCCTCCTGGGACATTTGGAAAAACTCTAAAGAATTAGAATTCTGAAGATACAGAAGCAATTCTGGTGAGGAAACTAGGGATTGTCCATAGAGACTAATGTAGTGTACAGGAATCTCATTGACCAGCTTCAATTTTTTTTTATTTTACTTTTTTATTTTTTTAATTTATTTATCTATTTTTAGTTTTTGACATTCACTTCCATAAAATTTTGAGTTTTAAGTTTTCTCCCCTTCCCTCTTTTCTCCCCTCCCCAAGACCATGTGCAATCTGATATAGGCTGTACTTAGTGCATTCATATTAAACATATTTTCACATTGGTCATGATGTAAAAAAGAATTAGAACTAATGGGATGAACCACAAGAAAGAAGAAACAAAACAACAAAAGAAAAGGAGAGCAAATGATATGCTTCCATCTGTATTCAGACTCCAGAGTTCTTTCTCTGGATGTGGATAGCATTTTCCATCATCAGTCTTTTGGAGTTGTCCTAGTTCCTTGCATTGCTAAGAAGAGCTGAGTCTATCAAAGTTAGTCATCGCACAGAGTGGCTGTTAACTGTGTACAACATTCTCCTGGTTCTGCTCACTTCACTCAGCATCAGTCCAAACAAGTCTTTCCAGGTTTCTTCTGAAGTCCACTTGCTCGTCATTTCTTATAGCACAATAGTATTCCATTACATTCATATACCACAATTTGTTTAGCCATTCCCCAATTAATGAGCATCCCCTCAATTTCCAATTCTTTGTCACCACAAAAAGAGCTGCTATAAATATTTTTGTACATGTGGGTCCTTTTCCCTTTTTTATGCTCTCTTTGGAATACAGACCTAGAAGTGGTATTGCTTGATCAAGGGGTATGCAGTTTTATAGCCCTTTGGGCATAGTTCTAAATTGCTCTCCAGATTGGTTGGATCACTTCACAACTCCACCAACAATGCAATCATGTTCCAATTTTCTCACATCTTCTCCAACATTTATCATGTTCCTTTTCTGTCACATTAGCCAATCTGATAAGTGTGAGGTCTTTACCTGGATGTTAGCAACATATTTGACAATGCCTCTTGTGCTCTTTTTGTGAGCAAGATGAAGGTATGTGGGCCTGATAACTAAGTGAATTCAGGACTAGTTGAATAACTGGACTCCAAAAATAAAGCATCAATCATTTAATATTAACTTGGAAAGGAGTTCTTTAGTAGAGTACATTAGTGATCTCTGTTTCACCCTTTCTGGTTTAATTTTTTAAATTAGTGCTTTGGATGACATTCTTATGAAATCTGAAAATGACACACATCTTAGAAGAATAACTAACGCACTGGATTACAGGATACGGTATTTCAATAGGCTAGAAGGTTGGGCCAATTCTTATATGATGAAATCTAAGAGATAAATGTGAAGTCTTACACATGAATTCAAAAAAATTGGCACTGCAAATACAGAATGGTGGGGGGGGATGGCTAAACAACACTTCACCTAAAAAAAAAAAAAACAAACCCTGGGCATTTTAGTGGATTGGCAAGCTCAATATGATTTAAAATACTGAGAGAGGAAGCATGGTAATAGAAAAAGCACTGGATTTGGAGTCAGAGGACTTGAGTTCAAATCTTGACTCTGTCACTTGACTGCCTGTGTGTCCTTCTGGCAGACTGTCTGGTAATGGATCCAAGGTGCAGGATGAGACGCACATTTTTGAACATAGCCAGTGTGAGGAATTGTTTTGCTTTTCCCCAATGGAGAGGTTGGGAGTGGTGGCAGGAGAGAAATTGTTTTGTGTGTGTGTTTTTTTTTAATTAAATGTTTAGAATGACCTTTGTGACTTCGAGCAAGTCACTAAATTTCTCTGGGATCAACCAGCCTCTGAGGTTCTTTCCAGCTTTCTATGTCTATGATCCTATCATCCTATGGACAGTGGGATAGAGCAACCAATAACAACAAGGCAAACTTAGAATGACTGGATATAACATCCAGGATAAGGGAGGAGATACTTTTTGTATCTGCCCTTGTTAGATGACATTTGGAGAACTCTGTTCAGTCTCCAGTATCACATTTTATGGAGGACGTTGATTTGTTCAAAAGAATCTAGAGAGTCATCTAGAACAGGACCTCAACATTGTGCCATATGAGAATGAGCTGAAAGAAGTGGGGATATTTTTATAGAAGAGATGATTCAGGAGGGACTTGATGGTGTTTTCAAGTATGGGAAGTACTGTCTCTCATGAGAGATTAAACATGTTGATGCTTGGCCTCAGTGGGTGGAACTACAAACACCACATGGGTAGACATTCCAAAGAGGCAAATTTAAACCTGGTAAAGAAAAAATTCCTAATGATCAGAGCTGCCCTAAGGTAGAATGGATTTAGGAGGTAGAGGAGAAGGAAATATTTGGGAGGAACGCAATAGCTATCTTTAAATATGTGAAGGATTATTATGATTGTTCTGATTCCAAAGTGCAGAACCAAGACTGCTCCTTGGAAATGGCCGGGAAGCAGATTGGGGCTCATTCTATGAAAACATTTCTTAATAACTACAAAGGTCTGAGAATTGAATGACTTGCCATAAAGGTTGTGAGTTTTCATCACTGGGGATCTTCAAGCAGATGCTGAATATCCAGTTGTAGACAGCATTCATGATTTGTGTTAAGATTGGACATCCTGAGATCCCTTTCAACTCCAGCTGTCAATTATTTTATTAGCCTGACTTAGGAAAGAATGTTAACAGCTCTCTTGAAAGGTAGAAGCAAGTCAGGCACACATACTTGTAACCCCTTCTCTTGAAGAAGCTAAGCTTGGGATTTCTGAGTTGCCCCGTGTTATGCCAATAGAGCGTCTGAACCAAATTAGGCACAAATATGGTGAGCCTGCAAGAGCAGGGCCTCTAGGGAACCGTAAATTCATCTAGGAGATCCTAAAGACTAGATAAAAAATCCATCTTGTATTGCTTATCGAGGACTCTTGCATTAGACCCTGTCAATGTAATTCAAGGGACCAAATTTGTTTAGATGTGATTCCAAATGAAAATTAAGCTTGTTAGCTCAGAGCTGACATTTTGTAACAACATAAAGGTTTTGTCTCAAAAAGAAGTAGCCTTACCTAAAATGGCAGAGACATGGATTTGGAGGATTCAAAAGGAGAAATGAGCAGTACCCGGCCTTTAGTCTATTTATTTGTTTTCTTGTTATTTTTTATTATTCTGTGACAGAGAGAGTAAAATAACAGGTTGTTGAATTAGGGCTATAATTCCACAGAGAGATACAATGACCACATAAACCACAAAAGTAAAGAATGGAGATTTAGCCCAGAAGAAGTAACTGGACAGTACTTGTATAATCCCAATATATTCCCCACTTAGGACGATAATAACAGAAAGAGGAGGAGAAGAGCAAAAAATACTCTGGGAAAGAAAATAACATCTGTCCCCAGGACGTCTTGTCATCAGACATTTATTTTTAGATTTAGGAGTTTCAAACATTCTTGCGAAGCCTATTTTTGATCTTACTGAATTTCCAACTCTTCAATCCAGAGATCAGTTTCGTACTGGAGGAAGCTTCTCAGAATCAAGATTTTAGAAAATTGAGATAAGCCTCAACTAGCTTTCAACAGGCAAAACACTTGCTGTTGAGGAAACATCATTTCCCTGGGGTGTGCTGGGATTCAGCCAGTGATTTTTCTAACTTAAAAATCTCAGTCCTCTTGAATATTATATAACTTTCTCCCAGTCCGTAAGATGAATTGTTCTGCCTTAGAATTTCTCAGGACAACCTATTCTCAGGAAAGCCTCAAAGTCAGGGCTCCCTGGGGTCCTGGAGTCCCTGGAGCATTCTCTGCTCAGAAGCCCTTCTTGGTCAGTATCTATGTGTAGCAATACTATTCTCTCTCCTATCTTCTCCCTTATTTTGTTTTAATCTTTTTCAGAGTGAACTAGATGTATCCTTTTCAATAGTATGTTGCCTGTTTGCACTCTACCATGCAAAGCATCTCCTATGACTACCTGAGCAGGTAAGTGTTACTTGTCATATCCAGATTCTCAGAGATGTACAGAATGCCTCTCTCTCACAAAGAAAAAAAGTATTAGTGGCTTGATTTCTAGACAAAGTGTTCATTTGTATATCACTATTATTTATTAATTTAACATCTAGTAAGCATAAAATAGGGATTTTTAACCTGGTGTCTATAAACTTTAAAAATATCTTAATAACCTTATTCCAATATAATTTTTTTCTTTATATGATACACAATCCTATGTATTTTATTTTATGTACTTAAAAATCTTATTCTGAGAAGGGGTCCATATGTTTCACCCAATTGCCAAAGGGGTTCAAAGCACAAATAAAAGGACAAGAATCCCTGATGTAGAATGACTTGGGCTCTGTGCAAAATTTAAAGGACATATCCAGTTCTCTTGGAGCAATTGGATTTACAGAGAATCCCAAATATAAAACTAATAATAATAGCCCACATTTACCTGGTGCTTTAGGGTTTGCAAAACACTTTACATTTAGTATTTCATTTGATCCCAATACAGTGTTTAGTAAGACCAAGACCATCAATAATGATACTGTCCAGACAAGATAAAAGGTTGCAAAGACTGTCTTCCTTGTCATCATTCCCTTTGATAGCAGCCAGAGCTAATTGCCTTTTCTTCTTTTTTTCCCTTGATCTCCTTCTTTAAATCAAAGCTGCAAAGACTCCTAAAAAGAAGTATCATTTGCGCAGAAATCTTTCAGGCACATTGTTATTTGGGCAGAAGCCTAGAAACAGACTTTGTTTGGGTGCTCTGGAAGCAGGTTGACTTTCAAGTTAATTTTATACTTAAAAAAATTCTATTTATCACTTGGAAGTAAAATAAGGGGCCACTTTGAAAACCAATCTAACCCATGTAAATACATAACTTACATTTGGGTGATAACAGTAATGTGATAGCAGTTTTTGGTGTGTTTTAAAATATCTGGAAGGCTGTGACGTTTCAAATATCTAAAAGGTTGTGACTTTTGACTGACAATGGCTAACAATGTAGAGTAGAACTCATCATGAATGTTACAAGGAGGCCGATTTCAGCTCCATTCAGGGGAAATCTCCTTAACAGTTTGAGCTATTCCAAAATGAAATGGGCTTCTTCTGGAAGCAATGAGTGCTCTGTCACAGAAAGTGTGGGATACGGTCTAGGAAATTCTTGTTTCAGGGAGGAGGCAGTTTCCACCCCGACTCTGTGTCTGAGATACACTCATTGAGATGTCTGTAACTACTTCCCCTTCTCAGGACCTTTTCATGTGCTTTTTACAAAACATTCCAGGCTTTTGAATAACATTAACCAGTTTTTATCAGGCCTTAGTGATGTTCCTAAAGCATTGGTCTGACCAGTGGTTGACATCACTCAGTAATCTTTAATGGTACCCTATTACCATAGGATCAAATACAAACTCTTGTGCTTGGCATCTGAAACCCTTCCCCACCTGGCTCTTGCCTGCCTTTTCAGTCTTAGATATCACTATTTTCATGGACTTTTTTGTCAAGCCAGACTGGCTTTCTTGCCCTTTCTTACACATGGCATCCCATCTGTAGCCCAGTCCCAGCCTTTCCACAGGCTAATGCACTCCCTTCTCACTACTGCCTCTTAGAATTCCTAGTTTCTTTTAAAGCTTAGCTCAAATACTATCACTTCCTCTATGAGAACTTTCTTGTTTCCTAGGGTGCTAGTACCTCTAGAACAAAATTTTCTTGTATTTATTTTATATGGACTTATGTTTACATTGCATATGTATGTTGCATATATGTATATGTGTAGATAGATAAAAAGCTCCTTTAGGGATTCATTTTTTGTCTTGGTATCACCACTGCCCAGCATAGTGCCTGGCAGGTAGTAGATACTTAAGAAATGTTTGTGGACTGACTGATTGATGCCTCCTCCATGATTTGATGTTCTCAAAGGTTATACCAGTGGACCACTTTGCTCAGGAAGGCTTTGACTATGGCAAGAACTCATAAACTATGGAGAGATTATGATCTATGTTGGTGGAAGGAGTTTATGAATATTTGCCCATCAAAATATCATCAATCCTCAGTCCTCTGCACACAGAAAAAAAACTTTTCCTTTGAGGAAACAAAATATATCATGTGTCTACTGTTAGCTTGTTAGCTTCTCACTCAAATGCATGGCAGAAAATGTCTTCTCTTTTCCTGTGTTGGTTGTCATGGGCCCACGGGATACCCATCAAGCGCTTACTCACTTGGTGTATAACCTCTGTGCTGGAACTCTGAAGTTTTAAAATAAATGAATACCCAGGGTCTGTTTTTCAGAGAGTTATGTGCATCTAGATACTAGAAGAAATATTAGCTTTCAGGCCTTTGCCTCAATCACAGACATCTGGGCCCTCAGAATAGAAAGCAAAAGATAAATTTGATCAACTCTTCTTTAGAGCTTTAGTTGGTTGCCAGAGATCTGAACAGTTTTTGAGATTTTGAACCAAAGCCAAAGCAGATAGGCTGCCATTCCTGTGCCTGCAGTCATAAGTTCAGAATTTCCTCATTCCTGAGGTGACTTGAATCTTGAATTTACAGGGTGTTGGGAAATGACGGTTGCCTGAGGACTGTGGCCCTTCCCGTGGGGTGATGCCAATGTCTAGCATGACAACAAATCTCATCTGTTTAAAAACAACTGGCCAGTGGCCAGAAGATAAATCTGAATTGCAGATCAACTTCTTAGGCTAGATAGAACAATCCCCAGACCAGTTTTGTCCTTGAACTAACCCTGGGATATTCTTTGGTCTACCTGAAAACCACTTGGGATGAGCAGAATCTTGTAAAGGTGCTGATTGAAGCAGCTGGTTGACATTTCAAAGTTGTTTACTGAAAGTAGCAAGATCTGTTTTCACTTAACTTCTTATGCTGTCCATTTCTGCCTCACTTTGTCAAAACCTTTTCAGGCTTCTGTGTCCTGGCAAAAGTGGCCTGGTGGGCAAGGCTGAGTCAGGGGACTAAGATTCTAGTCCAGTTCCAGTTTGACAATTACGTGGTTGAAGAACACAGTGATGATCTATATAAATGGAAAGCATTATTAATATGCCATGTTGGAGCAATGTTTCTTTTCTGGGTCACATAAGGACATTTCCCATGGGTCCCTGAAGAATAGTTTATTCTGATAGAAGATTATTTGAATGAAGCTTAATAACTTATTAAAATATATCCTGGTCTAACCTGCTGGATTTTAAAGTCTCATTTGGCAAAAAGCTCTTTCTTACAGGGAGACCACTGAGGTAAATGCTGAAGGAGACAGAAAATTTTAGTATGAAATGACCCCTATCCTTAGGAGTCTAGTTGAACCTATGGCACATACACAAGTAACTTATAAAAATAATACATGGTAATTAAGTGCATAAGAAAGACACAAAGGGCTGTGTGAGATCCAAGGATTGGGGCAGGGAAGAAAGGCCCTTCTCAACTGCATATTAGGATCTCCTGGAAAAGCTGTAGCTTTTGATTAGGGCTTTAAAGGAATTCAGATGGCTAAAGGTGGGTGGGAGGGAAGGTATTCCAGGCATTTGTCATGGCTGACTCTTTGTGACCCCATAGACCATAGTACATCAGTGCTCTCTGTGGGGATTTCTTGGCAAAGATACTTGAGTGGTTTGCCATTTCCTTCTTCAGTGAATTAACAGGAAGTGGTAAACAAGGGCAGAAATAGGAAAATGCACGGTAGCTACTAGGAATGCCAAGTAGTCCAGTTTGACTAGAGTATAGAGTATATGTAGTTGTTGTTCAATCATTTCACTTGTGTCTGACTCTTCATGACCCAATCTGGGGTTTCCTTAGCAAAGATACTGGGAGTGGTTTGCCATTTCCTTCTCTAGCTCAATTATGGATGAGGAAACTAAGGCAACAAGGTACATACAAAATCAGGTCCTTTGCCATCTATTGCTACCTTATCTTTCCAGTCTTATTTGTATATGACTCCACTACATTTGGGGCAGCTAGGTGGTGCAGTGGAGTGCCAGGTCTTAAGTCCAGAAAGACTCATCTTCCTGAGTTCAAATACAACCCAAGTCACTAGCTGTGTGACTTGGGCAAGTCACTTAACCCTGTTTGCCTCAGTTTCCTCATCTATTAAATAAGCTGGAGAAGGAAACAGCAAATCACTCCAGTATCTTTGCCAAGAAAATCCCAAATGGGGCCACAAAGAGTCAAACACGACTTTAAAACTGAACAACAATAAGGAGTTTGACCATTATACGGCAGGCAGGAGCCTCGATCGGAGGAATGACATGATCAAATCTATGTATTAAGAAAGACAGTGTCAGCGTCAAAGATGGCTTCAAGAGGGAAGAGTAGAAGCAAGACTTGTCAGGAAGCTATATTAAGTGTCTAGGCAAATAGTAATGAAGTTCTGTACAAGGCTGGTAGCAGTGTACAGAAGAGGAGACAGATCTAAGAAAGATTGTAGAGACAGATTCCACAGGATGTAGTAACTGATTGGAGAAAAACCTTTTGGTTTTGACATAGGAGGCTGAGTTAATGAATAATGCCATTGATAGAAATCGTGGAATCAGAAAGAATTTTGAGGGAAAGATGACGAAGCTTGGTTTTAGGAATGTTGGGACATACTGGTAAAATGTCATGTAGGCAGCTGGAGTTAAGAATTCTGGTCTGGAGACATAGACATCTCTCCTTAAAGAGGAAGGCAGTGTGGTATAGTGGGAAAAGCACCTGCAGTGCTCTGGAGACAGATGACTTGAGTTCAAATCCCACACTGGAAGCTTATTTTGGGCAAGTCACAACCTCTCGACCCCAGGTCCCCTGTAACTCTAGAACTATGATCACTATAGTCAGAGGAGTTAATGAGATTCCCACGGCAAAGAGTATAGTAGGGGATTAAGGACAGAACTTTGAGAGATTGAAATTGGCTTTAAGAAATTGGGGAGGAGAGTCATGAGCTAGCAGGAATAGAAAAAGAATACTTGGAGAAATGAGCCCCTTGAGAGCGTGCTATCTCTTATGCCCAGGGAGAGGGGGTGGTATCTCTAGAAGAGAGGGGTGATGAACAGTGTCAGGACTTACAGAGAGACCAAGGAGGATGAAGATTACTGGAAAAAAGACTGTTGGATTAGAGGACATTGATTGGTTACCTTTAAGAGACATTTCTGTTGAAAAGTTAGACAGTAGACAACTTTTCTAAGAACTCTGTCTGTGAAGGAAGTTGCAATGATTCCTTCAATCTCCCCCCCCAAAAAATCTTCCCTGCAGGCATTTCTACTTAGTTTTCTAAAACTTTCTCAAAAGTACTCTTAGTACTTTTTGCTGTCACCTGAGGAAAGAACATTCTTTTATATTTCTGCTTAGGCTGTTTTCTGATCATCTTCCTTCATTCTGTGTATATATTTGTATTCCATCAGGAATTCTAAAGCAAAAAATTTTTTTAAAGAGGAAAAAATGTGTGAAATGAAATTTACATTTCAAGTCCAGTGTACATAAAATGGAGATCTTAACCTTTCAACTTGAGGTGCTACTAATGCTACTTTTTCAATTCAGGGTCTTGGTTTATCTTCAGGTAAGTTAAACATGTTCCCACCCACCAAACTCATTCTGTTTTCCTTAAAGAAGGCTTCCCTTCTTTCCCAAGAGTGGTCTTTCCTTTTCACTTACTAGAGAAAGGAAGTGAAAATGTAAGCCAGAAGAGGACTTCAAATATGCCTTGTCAGTTATTTCTGCAAATAAGTAGAGGAGGCATTGGAACCAAAAGAGGAAGGAAAAAAAAAACTCATGAGTTCAATCTGGAAAACAAACCAAAATTTGAGAATCACAGATTAAAACCAGTCCAGATGCACAAATATGGGGGGGGGGGGAGCCAAGAGGTGTTCATTTGTCTACTATTTGCTCCAGTGTACCAGTAAGTTTTACTGAAGAGCTAGAAAAGGAAGAACAGCAGGATCTTTCCTGATAAGTTTTTGAGGCTCAGGCAAGGATACTGTAAGTTTCATATTTTTTTATATACAACAAAATAGTCCGAGGTAAAGCAGTGCATTCAACTATGCTCTTTCCTTGAGAACACCATTTCATTTGCTGTGATGGATAAACTAGTCCCTTTTAGGATAAACTTTAGTTTTAGTAAAAGCAGATTTCATCTATTTAATATTTTACCACCTCTTCTCATCAAAAAATTCAGATTCTCTAAAAAATGTACTACCATTTATTTTATAAGGAAACACAAAGATTACCTTTGTAAACCAAGATGGATCTTAATTTTATTTAGTTTCTATCAATCAGACCAAGAAAAATTGGACAAACTCATCACATTCATATAGACACGAGAAATGAAAAACTTGCACTATTATTAGAAATGTCCAGTCTAATTCTAGGGTTGTGTTTGAGGCCATGTTAATACAACACTTGTAATAGTTTGGACATGGAAAATTTTTCCTGCCTCTGAGTCCAGAACTTAATTGTTCCTCAAATGAAGCTCTCTAAGCAAAAGATCCTTAACTTGACCTTCTTCCAGATAATGTTTAACTTGGATAAAGTGCACATAATTTTGGATGAAATGGTGCTGAATGGCTGCATTGTGGAAACTAACAAGGCTAGAATCCTCGCTCCTCTCCTGATTCTTGACAAAATGGCAGAAAGCTGAATAAAGAAGCGATGTCGTGGTGGCACTGATTCACAGGAAATGCCAGAGGCACAGAACACCCCCTGCAGCTGTACCCCCAGAGAATCCACAAGGCTACACATTACAGCAAATTGGGGTCTAATGCCAAAAGCATGGCTTAGGGACTTGGAGATTCCCATAGTATCTTCAAAATGTGATATGCAGTGGGAATTATTAAGTAAATTAATAGGTGGGGATTTTACCAACTGTAATTCTAAGCATATTTCACACTTCTTAAATTTTGTTAAATGAAGAATCTGGGCAGTCAGTTGAATTTCACAAATCAAATCAAGGAATGGCAGGATGAGGTGAGAGGGAAGCTTGATATTTGTCAGCCAATGAAGTTTGAAAATTGGCTTGAAAAATTGCATAAATAATTCAAGATCAGTTTTCCTATTTAAGATTTTTCCTGTCTTTTTTTGGATAAATTTTCTTCTTTTAAGTTTGAGTATATCTTCTAAATAAACTTTTCAAAATTTAATCTGATTCCATTTGCCATTTTGTAATTAAACTTTCAGGGCTATATAGCAATTAAAACATCATCAAATTTGTACATTTATCAAATAATGGATAATTAGAATCAAAATAAGTTTTCAACTACCCATTTATACCACATTTTAAAAGATTTCAGCTGCCTTGAAGGCACCTCAATATTTTCACTATCATTTAATTTGTTTAGAACAGTGCAAAATAGATAGATAGATATATAGATACATATATATAATCTCATGTTTATATGAAAGATGTAGCGACCTTCTCCCATCTTACTCCTTTCTGACCTAATCCATATCTCCTAACAAAGCACTGTTACTAGAATCGGTCTATGTATTTGTGTGCATGGGGCAAAGGGGAAACCTATGTAAAGGATAGATGAAGACATTCTGCCACCTTGTGGAATGCAGCAGGTCTCCTTCCACCATTTTCTAACAGCCCCATTGTCCCAAGTCAAATGACCAAGTTTCCTGAGATTTGACAACACACCAAATACTATTATTATTGCTATTATTATTATTAATTGCTTCCTAGTTCAGTTCCTCCAAACTTAGTTATTTCCTAAAACATTTTTACTCACTTAAGAATTTGCCTAAGTAAAGCTAGGATCTAATTGTTAAAAAAATAAGAGACAGAAGCAGCTACTGGTCAGCCTTCTAAGGCGAATCCTGGAAAAACTGGAAGATACATTGAAAGGAGAAGTGAGTAGAAGTGACCATTGGCAGCAGTATCATAAAGAGACCTAGGGCAATGGGGAAGCCCAGGTTGGAAC